CGGCCGGGGTGATTTACGGACAGGACCCGGTGACCGAGGACGCTCGGCCTGCACGACGAGAACGCTCGTCGGCCGGGGTGAGTTACGGACAGGACCCGGTGACCGAGAACGCTCGGCCTGCACGACGAGAACGCTCGTCGGCCGGGGTGAGTTACGGACAGGACCCGGTGACCGAGAACGCTCGGCCTGCACAACGAGAACGCTCGTCGGCCGGGGTGATTTACGGACAGGACCCGGTGACCGAGGACGCTCGGCCTGCACGACGAGAACGCTCGTCGGCCGGGGTGAGTTACGGACAGGACCCGGTGACCGAGAACGCTCGGCCTGCACGACGAGAACGCTCGTCGGCCGGGGTGATTTGGAGTGTGGGAGTTGAGGAGTGATCCCTGAGTACGCTCGAGGGACCAGGACGGGACTGGTGTCGAAGTCTCGGCTGCGCCGCTCTTTATACCCGTCGGCCACCCCACTCTAAGACTAGCTTGGAGGGGGTCGAGTGACGGGTGGGGGCGAAAAGGCGGATTCCCAACGTATTCGTGTGGTGGCCCCGAAAGGGGCCGTTTACACGAGCGCGGGCGACTAGTGACGGCTAATCGGGTCGTCACATCACATTAAATTGCTGCTATATTACTTGGTTCACTGGATTTATATATATTCTTAGAATATACTGTAAACATCTTTTATAGTATATTATTTCTCGTATATATATCGTATATTTTCAGAAATACTTTTACGTATATTCTCAAAATATACTTTATACATATTCTTGGAATATACTGTTGACATCTTTTACAATATATTATTTCTCGTATTTTCTTGTATATGTCAAGAAAATACTTTAGAATACGCGAATTTATTTATTGGCGGATATGTGTATGCAACGCCATGTTCGATACGTAATTGCGGTATTGCCAGTATCGCCGGTTTCTTCCTCTTCTTTTGTGCTCGTGACGAGTGAGCAACACGTGTGTGGTTCTTCATCCAAATTTGGATCGATATTAATCGCAGTTAATTCGCTTTTTATTTAATTTAAAATGCATGAAATTTTCAAACTCTATAAAAGATATTTTCAAAATATATTTATCATTTTTTGTTAATATACTTGATTACAATAAAATATTATTACAAATTAACCTCAAAATCGCATATTTTTGGAACTTGTCTATTTTATGGCGTGAATTTATAAAAATATTTATTTTTAAATATTTATTCTTAAAAATTTTTACAATATTGGAACATTGTCAAAAAAATAAAAGTGCAAGTTGAAATACTTTAATTATATTAATATCTTGCAAAATCGTTATCCGGTAATGTGATCAAAATATTTTATTAATATACTTACGATATACCAAGAAATATTCTCAGTATATACCAAGAAATATTCTCAGTATATACCAAGAAATATTCTCAGGATATACTGAGTAGGCTTCTAGGGCAGACATTAGAACATCCTCCGTACATTCTCAAAATATCTGGTACGTATTTCGAATATTAATGGGATATACACAATCTACATTTGCGATATACTGCGTATATACTCAGAATCTACCTGTGCTGTCTGGGCAGTGATTCCGCTTGCGTCATGAATCATAAGTTTTAATTCTTACCAATATAGTTTCATATGCTAAAGATCTATCAATCAGTTCTCTAATTTATTATCATATCATTCACTAAAAATAATTCTAATCTAGAACACTCAAGCGTATCTCACACATAGAGGTCCTGTGATAGGTTCATTCTTTTCACTTTTTTATTTCTAAATGGGTTTTTCAATTTCTGAAATAAAAATATTGATTATAATTTATGTACCAATGCGTTCTTCTACACAATAATATACATACATTATTTGTGCTTTGTGAGCACAAATAATGTATGTATATTATTTATAGATCGAAAGTTGTAAAAAATACTAGTTACAGACTAGTGACGTTGAGATTGACAGACGTAGCAACAGAAGTAAAAGCAACTTTCAGGCGATCTTTTTTATCAATGATATGCTGTATCTATTCGAAAAAGGTAAGTTGAACGATATATTCTTTTTTTACATTTTCATTGGATATTTCTATGTGACTAGAAAATCTATGATTTCTTTATTTGAAAGAAAAAAATATATTTTTTCATTTTTATGTTTTTTTGAAAGTTTTTTTAACTTTTGAGTTCTTTTTAACCTTTGCAGAGAAACAAATAAAATTTATCTTTTAAAAAAATATAGATTTTTTGAAAGAAACCATCGAACTCTTAATTGAGTTTCTTCAATATTTTTATTCCATAAACGAAAGATTGTTTGTGTTTTATTGGCTTTTTTTGCAATTTTGTTGTTAATTTATACAATAATCGCGTTAGTAAAATAACCTTTTTGATCTGTACGGCCATAGTTGAGACAGAAAATATATCTCTCTCTGTCGATCTTCTTCGCGCGCGCTTGCGCGCTATGGCCTCTTCATTAGTATAAGCTCTAAGACCGTCAAGCGCATGCGCGCCAGGCCATCGTGCGAGGCGAGACCTGAGAACGGCATCACGTCTGTATCTTCGTGCATCAAATTCTATCGTGCATTGTGTTCCGATATTAATACGTTGTTTCGACAAAATTTTATGTGTTGTATCAAAGTATACAGTAATTTATCAGCTATTCTTTTCTAAAGTAAGTTTATTATATACATGGTATACACATAATTGCTTAATTTCATTTATTTATACAATTTGTAGTTATATTCTAACCTTGTTTCGACCATGGCTATGTACGAGCTTGAAATAAGAAAGAAGATAAAGTTTAAAAGAAAACTTACAAATAAAATAAATCGATCTCTAGCTATAATCAATAATAATTCAAACTTATTTTATGATTCTCATGGCATTAATACCAATGATGATTGCAACACTGATAATGATGTTAACGATAATATAATGTTGTACAAGAATTCATGTCACATTAATGATAATTGCACAAACATCAATTCAACAATGAGCAATGAGTTATTTCATAACGTGGATAATACTGAAAAATTATTACATGATGTTAGACAGGAAAGAATTGATATACCGCTATCTGAGAAACTAGCCAAATGGGCTATAGAGGAAAATATAACATTGTCTGCGTTGAGAAATCTACTTCCTATTTACGGGAAATACCTGGTTGTGATGATCTACCAAAAGATCCAAGAACACTTTTAAAAACACCTAGAACGTAGATAACATCTCTTAGGTAATGGAACATATTATTATTTTGGTATTGAGAAAACTTTAAACTTATTTTGTAAAAATCACAAGATCAGCATATCAGCAAATAAAGAGTTATTATTAGCTGTCAACATTGACGGTTTGCCTTTGAGCAAAAGTACTAATAGCTCGTTTTGGCCTATTTTATGTTCTATCAAATCAATAAAAGTTCTTATGAAACAAGTGTTTTTGGTCGCCTTATATCATGGCACAGAAAAGCCAAAATCTGTTGATGATTATTTTAGAGACTTTGTTAATGAATGTATTTATCTATCAGCTAACGGTATATCAATCAATTCTTGTAAATATAATTTTCGAGTTTTAATGTTAATTTGCGATTCACCCGCAAAATCATTTGCCTTATCTATTAAGCATCACACAGGTCATTTCTCATGTACGAAATGTGACCAAGAAGGAGAAATGTATCATAATGTATTATGCTTTATTGAGACTAGAAATTTTTCCAAAAGAACCGATACTTCTTTTAGAACTGCTGCTCAATCAGAGCATCATACTGGTAGAAGCTTGCTGTTAAATATACCAAACTTTAATATGATAGATAACGTACCAATTGACTATATGCATTGTCTTTTGTTAGGAGCTATGAAAAGACTTCTTTGTCACAAACGGTATGGGTGGATTCATGGTAAACCACCTTATAAATTACGAGCTCGTGATGTTAATAAAATTAGTGAAAACCTTTAAAATTAAAACGATATATTCCTCATGAATTTTCTAGAAAGACGCGTTCTGTAAATGAGTGTAAAAGATATAAGGCTACAGAATTTAGGTTTTTTTTATTATACGCTGGTCCTATAGTTTTGAAAGAGATATTATCATCCAAAATTTATAATCACTTCATTACATTAAGTCTTGCAAGTTCTTTAATGATAAGTGAATATTATTCAAAACTTGAAAACTATGTAATATATGCTCATAATTTGATGGAACATTTTATTTGTCAATCCATAAAAATTAATGGTCCAGATTTTGTATCGCATAACATACATAATCTTTTACATTTAAGTGATTGTGTAAAACTGTATGGTGCACTTGACAACTTCAGCGCGTTTCCTTTGAGAATTATATGCAGCAATTAAAAAAAAAAAATTCGCAAATCTGCTCAACCTGTGCAACAAATTATTCATCGTACAACTGAAGAATATAATATTACTCAATGTACAAATATCACAGAAAATGATTCTTCTGCGAAACTATTAATGGAACATTTTGACGGACCACTGATAAATAATTGTACATCTCCGCAATACAGAAAAGCACAGATAGATAATTATTGTTTAAATATTTTAAAAATAGCCGATAGATTCGTAGAGTTAAAAACCAACGTTATTGTCGAAATTAAAAACTTTGCTTCGTATAAAAATTCTGTATGCTTAATAGGTTATCGATATAGCAAGCAAGAACATTTTATTCTAAACCATATACATCATCTTTGCTTAATATTCAATATATAAAAAAAGATAAAAACGTACTTGAAATGTGGAATATCGAATTTATCAAAAGAAAATTAGTAGTACTACCATACAAAAAAAATTAATCTCATTTCCTTTATTACATGCATAATTTTATAATTTTATAATTTATTTACTTTTTTAACCATAAATATAAGTACATTGCTATTATTATTGATATTAATAATTAAAATTTATTAGAGTTGTAATGTTTAATTATAAAAAATTGTAAAAATTAATATTAGATTGCTAGATTTATAAACATATTTGAATGTACATAATGTAAAATAATTAGTTTAGTTATAAATATCCAAGATGACCTGGTACGTTGTAAAATTTGATGATGAGGACACAGTTGAAGCTGTACCTGACATATGGTACATGAAAAAAAATTCACAATGCTATTGGCCTCCTGGAGGCACTGCAAAAATTTATAGTAGACTTTATAAAAAAAGCAATCTCCTGGAGCCGACTGGGCACTCTATGAAGCAAACCTTTTAGGAGCTATGGTAAAATATATTTGACACATCTCACAGAATACTTTATATAATAAAATACTCCTAAAATATTATACGTAAAATGTTAATACATTTAGTATAATACACTAAATTTATTAACATTTTACGAAATTTTTCGATTTTTTATTGTTTTTAATTTTGTTTTTTATAGACAATTATAAAATAGCACAAAAAAAGCCAATAAAGCTAAAAACACAAATAATCTCTCCTCTAATAACGAAGAATTGAAAAGGAAATATAGACGTAGGAGCACGAAAAAAAGCCATCATAAAGAATCTGAAAATGAATATGAATTATCCTCTGAAACCGAAGTATCCTCGGATGATGTTATATATCCTGTTCCAACTCCAATAGAAAAAACTCAATTAAGTGGTAAGTAATATAAGCAACAATCATACGATATTATACATATATTTGTAAGACAAGAATTCTATTTTAATATTTTATTAATAATTTTGTATAATAAAAATAAAAAAACTCAAAAATTAAATAATGAAAAATACAAAAATAGTGCAAGAGCTTCAGCAAGGTGTTCGTGCAAAATTGTATTATACTTTCTTACTTTGTTACTTTAAGAATTACACAATCTACAAATTGATGATATCAGTAAAACTATGCTTTTATTAAGAAGTAAAAGTAATGAGTGGCAGAACTTATCATTGCATGAAGATGTTTTAGATATCACATTTCCAGTAAATAAAAATTCTTTAACTCTAGAAGACTTGATAGATTCTGAACATAAGTAATGATGGTAAAGTATATTTGATTATAAATTTATTATAAAAACGTTTTAATTTGAATTATTTAAATTATATAAAACTTTTTGGTAAACGTTTCTGTCCGATATCAGACCTTCAGTGACATAAAAATTATAATAAATTCTACGCCGTAATTATAAACATAATTGTCGCCATAATGTATGTCAAATTAAATGTTTTTGTCAAAACGATAGACTCAATCGATATTATTTATATAATTACGGCAGAATTTTGTTATAATTAGTATGTTGCTGAAGAAGGTCTACTATCAAACAGAAACGCGTTTAATCAAGTAATGAAGTAACATTTTGCGCGAACACTTTGCTGTGGCTCTTGTTCTATTTTATATTTGTAATTATTTTTTATATCAATGCTTTTTAATATTCTGTTTGTGCATATAGTACAGGAAAAAAATATTTAATCTATTAATCAAAAATAATGAAATAAAGATGTACAAAGATGATTTCTTTAAAAATATACAATATTTTTTCATACATTTTATTAGTATACTTTGTTTTTCTGTCTCAAAAGTTAAAAAGTCTTAAAGACATATCCAATGATATGTAAAAAGAGTAACGTTCAATCATTATTTTTGAAGGGATTAATGTCACTGATAAAAATGATCAGTTGAAAGCTTCTACCTCTGTTACTACGTCTAATAAGTCTGAAAATCTATTTGCAACATCACAGCAGCCTACTTCGACTCTTCAACAGAATAATGGTAAGATTAAATTTGTACATGTAATAATGAAAATAAGATTAATTTTTTTGTAGTACCACTAATTTTCTTTTGATAAATTTGATATTCCATATTTTAAGCAAGTTTTTCTCTTTTTTTATATATTAAAATATTAAGTAAAGATGATAAATATGGTTTAAAAATGATCTTGTTGTATCGATATCCTATTAAGGCTTTTGAGTACTCTCTGTGACCATGTGAATCGTAACGTCAGAAGCAAGAAGTGTCACGTTGAGAATTCATAGATGTCATTTTTAGATAAATAAATATTTCGATACAATACCACTTCAGATGGCTTTAAGGTACTTTTAAAATACCTCGAAAACTATGCTTTTCTCTTGATAGTCAATCAACAACTGTAAAATGATCGTAATATCAGACTTTGTAATATGGAATAGCTGTGCATGTGCAAGACTGAACTGACTAGGACTTTTATATCAGCTATTTTTTACAGCTGTTTACTGATTATAAAGGGAAAAGATAATTTTCGAGTAAGAGGTATCTTAAGAGTATGCGAAAGTCAGGTGTGAAATGTTGTTTTATAAAATATATCTTTTCATTTAAAAATGGCATCTAAGAAGTTTTGTTTTCTCGCCTCTGACGTCACAATTCCGACATGGCCGGAGATGTACAATTATTTATCAGTGGTCTGTCAAAATGTTCCATTAATAGTTTACCAAAACAATCATTTTCTGCAATATTTGTATATTGAGTATTTTGTAATATGCGTTATTTTTTCTATACTATGCTTAAATAAATTATATTTTTGAAGGAAGTGTTGCTATATAATTTATAATCGATGTTTTTATTTCAGAATATCAAAAACGAGTTCTAAGAGAATTACACATTCTTAGTTTAAAAATGGACGATATTGTTGAAAATATGAGTCTTTTATTCAAAAGTAAAAGAAATGAATCGCAAGACTTAACTTCGCATGAGGAAATTCTAGATATCACACGATCATTTCCGGTAAATGAAAATTCTTTAGCTCTGTTAGAAAACTGGTTGATAGACTCTGACATAAGAAACTATTGGTAAGAATTTTTAAGTACGATATATTGATTATTATAAAATGTTTCAATTTGAACAATTAAACTAATATAAAAAATTATTCAATATTAAGTCTTTATTTTACAATTTTTCAATTAAAGAAATTAAATAATCTTTTTATAATGGCAGTCGCAGCATTTAAGTCGTATTGGAGGTAGTAACGTTAAAGAGATTGTACGGCGCATTATGTATCATGTATTTACTAACGAAGTTGGTATGATTTACTCTTGGGAAGGAGCAAGAAAAAGAAAATCTTCAAGGATTTAGCTGTAGCATCTACTATTTTCTGTAAATTAAAACCATTAAGTTATAATAATACAATTATAATAATAATCATACAATTAAAATTTTGCAAAACTTTTTACTTTAATATAATTTGTGATAATCTTTTGCAGCTGCCGTACGACTCAATAAGAATACTAATGATTGCACAAATGCAGAAATTATAAGTTTTATAAAAGCATGGCTTGTAAGAAGCAAAGATCGGTTAATAATAATAACAAAAATAAACCTGCAACTACTCAAGACGTTAATGAGAACCCGCAGATCAGTAACGGAGAGTAGTCTTAAAATATTTAAAACACACTACTCATATGATGGCAGCTATGGTATAGAATAGAAAGTAAAAATAGTACAAAATAGTTTCTATTATTTTTAATAATTCTTTGTTCTTCGCGTACGTTCACTGTACGTATTATATTTACACACAATGAATTTTGTTTTAATTTACTAATATTTAGGGTTCTGATAAAAAATATTAATATATTACTATATTATTCCTGTATTATTAGATTTTTTATTAATAATTTCTAACATACATATGTTGTAGTAATATATTCATATTGTAGTAATCTTAATTACACTTTTGCGTTATTCAAGTATTTTATTTTCATACATATGTTTTAATATTATTTAAGAAATAGAAGTTGCCATATCTTGCACTTTAGTTTTAAAATTACAGTTTTGTTATAAAAATACATATGTACCTTATGACTAACTAATATGCATCTATGCACATTTCATATACGTGCAATAAATAAAATTTTGTTATTACTTCTAAGATTAACTTTTGTGTTATTTATTCTCTTGCAATAATCTTTTATATAACTTTGTTGAAATAAGCATTTAGTTTGCACATAATACGTACGTGCATGGCGTGTACATATAATATGTATAGAAGATGTGCATAATACATGCATAGAATGTATATAATACTTGTATGACGTGTGTACATAATATGTGCGTAGCACGTATGTGACATGTCCAGAATGTCATCAATTTAAATTATCCACTTGAATATATTTCTTAGGGATTATTTTAGGGAAAATATTTCAGACAAAAGTTATAGAGTTTAGAGGGAAGTGCTTAATAGTAATCTAAATTTTTAATTACGGTCATTTATTAAAGTCATTTACAGGTCAATTTGTTTTTTTAAAAGAAACTGTCAATTGTATTTTATATAAACCGATTCTTCGTTATATTCTGTGTAAAAAATTACAAAGTATACATAGTTTATAAGATATTTTGTTTTATAGTTTGACATTTGGTCGATTTTGTAATAATTTCTTACATAAAATGTAACAAAGAATCGATTTATATAAAAATTGTAGTAGTTTCCTACAAAGAAATTGATCTCTATATATATGATCTTGGTAAATGAACGTAATTCAAAATTTAGGTCACCATTAAGTATTTCCTTCTAAACTCTACAACTTTTGCTTGAAATATTTTCCCCTAAAATGTTGTCTCTAAGAAATATTCAAGTAAATCATTTAAAATGGAACATCTTGGATATGCTACGTACGTGCTATATGCACATATAATACGTGCGTGGCATGTACATAATATGTATATGCCACGCACGTATTATATACATCCTATGCATGTGTTACGCACATTCTATGTATATATTATGTATACATCCTATATACATAATATGCACGTATTATGATCATCCTATGCATGTGTCATGTACATCTTCTGTACATATTATGTATATATGCTATGCACGTATTATGTACAGCCTATGTACATTTTGTACATGTGTCATGTCCATCTTATATACATATTTGTACATGATATGTACATATTATGTATATCCTGTGTACATCTATGCATGTGCCATCCTATGCATGTACATCTTATATACATATTATGTATATGCTATGTACGTATTATGTATATCCTATCTACATCCTATGCACGTATTATGTATATCCTATGTACGTGCATAAAAATTAAATGTACATGCATGAAGTATATACATAGAATGTGTTTTTTCATGTACATATGTATATTTTACGATATTCCATGTACATGCGCTGGGGGAACATTTGCATATACATTTCATATACATTGGATGTACGCTGTAATACATGTGTATATATATGTATATACAATATAAATAAATGTATATGAAATGTATATACATTGTATATCAAATTGTTTTGTGGGAAGTTTCTACTTTCACTTGGCGCAATTTTTTTTTTTATTTCATTACTTTTGTTACGATTGTAACATGGGTTTATAATCGATAATTTTTCATACAATTCTATTGTACATGGGTTTGCAATGGATAATTTTTGTTAATGGCGTGCCCCTTAACTGGTCGCCTTTTTACCTTTTTTTTAAAGGTGAGTTTTTAGAGATTATATAATAAACGTGAAAAATTGTTTGAATTTAATTGTCTTTATTGTCACTATATCTTAGCATATTACCCTATGTTTGATCAGGAGACGCGGTAGTGAGTGTCTCCGGCCATGTGTTCAAACCCTAAAAGACCTTAAAAAGACACTACAAGTCTCTTATCCTGCACCATCAAAGTCCATTTTTTGGGAGTGTAGAACTACTAAAATATAAAAATTTTGAATTGCACGTAATATAACCTAAAAGGCGGCATCGCCACGAGTAATTTGAGCCAAGAAGAAATAAAATCGGTCAAGCCGTTCTAGAGATACAAGCGGTCAAAAAGTGACGTTTTTCATGA